AAGGTAACAGAGTTTGTACTCGATGTTTGGCTCTTCCTGAATGAGCCTGAGGTCTGCTGCAGAGTGAATGTTCCACCTAAATGCTGAGTTGAGATTGAACAAGTGATGCTCACAGTTTGGCCCCAGGTGACTGCACCAATAATATTCTTGGTGATTCTGGGCTTTGGGAGGTTGACTGAAAAATAATATATGTGAAAAGTTCATATTTCCTTTAAACTAAAGAAGGAACTTGTCATTAGGAATTACATTAAAATTATATTAAATTAAATTGTATAAATTATATCAAAAATTACCTGTCACTGAGAGTCTCACAGAATCACTTAGAGGGGCGTTGGAGTCTGCAATCAAATCCCTCTGAAACTGACACTGGTAGGATCCCTCATTGTCAAGGTTTACATTAGAGATACTGAGGGTAGCAGAGTTTCTGCTTGATGTTATTCTCCTGCTGAATGAGCCTGAGGTCTTTGTGAAGATAAATGCTCCACTTAACTGATCAGCTGTGATCGAACACTTGATGGCGACATTCTGACCCCAGGTAACTTGACCAGAAGGACTAATGGAGATCCTGGGTTTTGGTTTGTCTGTTGAAAAGCAAAAGAACATAGAGTTGAATGTATAACATCTTCATTTTCATTTTTAAAATTAAAAGAGGCAAATAGTGAGCATGTAGTCACAATAAGCAGAAAAATGCATTTTTTTAAAAAATAATGTAAGAAATGACAGTTTTTGAACATTTAGACTCTCACGCACACCTTTGGCTTGGATTTTCTTCTAGAAAGATTGAATAATTACAACATTTAATATCTGATATCTAATATATTTAGTTCATGGTTAATTCAAGCAGTGATTAGTTGTTACTTCAGTATTTTGTGTGACATCTAAAGTGATGACCATCTATACCTTATTAAGTATTTATAAATGAATCTTTTTTTCTCACCTAAACAGGCAACGCCAGCATCCTCACCATGTCCACAGTCATGTTTCCCCAAACCACTGTGCTGACATGCGGTTAGAAAGCTTTCAGTTCCTGAACAGGCCACTTCGTCAAGCCAAATCTGTCCTGTACCTTGACCAAAGTGAGCTGATCGATAGAAATTTACTGCTGCCCCACAGCCCAGCTGTCTGCAGACCACTTTTGCATCATTTAAGTCCCAGCTGTCATCACACACTGTTCCCCAGGAGCCTCTGTGATAGATTTCAACTCTTCCAGAGCACTGAGTTGATCCAACTAATCTTATCTGTCCAACTATGAAAAAATTAGAGAAGATTAACAGAGTTTCAATGTTTTACACACAAAACACATGGAAATTATCATCAAATCTATATGTACAGGAGAGGCCTGCAGAATTTGCTCAACTAAAACAAATGCAAAACGAACAGGTGGTCCTTTGTTGCACATTAAGAGAGAAATTCCGAGTTAGCAGGTGTAACAGTCAGAGCCATGGAACAACATACGGATGGTAACACAAACTGAATATACAGTAAATGTTGCTACAACCTGTCTCAACTAAGAATAAAAACATTCAAACTCGAATGTAACATATGCAGGTAAAACATCCATCGATTTTCTTTCATTTCTGAGTTGCAGTGAGGCTCTATCCTATACAAGCTGTCATAGAAAAGGAGCCAGGCAGCAACCTCGACAGGTCACCAGTCTGTCACGAGGCTAACTCATCCAACCATTCACACATTTACACACATGGTCAGTTTAGAATCACCAATTAATCTAACCACATGGATGTCTTAACCTTGGACTGGGGAAGCTAGAATACTTGGGGAGAACATGCAAACTGCACACAGAGAGGACCCAGACTAGGATCTTCAAGCTGTGAAGCAACAGTCTTAACCACTGCATGCATGGCTTCAGACACTCTACCAGTAAAAACAAAATCTTTGGGACTCAGCAATGAAAAAGAGTCTAGCTGAGTTGTTTACTTGTATCATTTGGAGATGAGCTTTGCTTTTTTGTCTATTTTGTTTTTAAGCCAAAAATAATTCGAATCATAATACCAGATTGTCAGAAAATGTGATTTGGATTTACCAAAACAGAAGAGTAAGGACATTTTGTAGCATCAATGACTAAAGTAGCTTCAAAGAAATGTCCAAAGATACATATTCATGTGTTAAGCTTGAACCAACCACAAAATTTTCGTCTCACCTGAACATGTGACACCAGCATCTTCACCATGTCCACAGTTATGTTTCCCAAGTCCTCTGTGTTGACATGTGGTTAGAGAACTTTCAGTTCCTGAACAGGCCACATTATCAAGCCAGATTTGTCCTGTACCTTGACCAAAGTGAGCTGATCGATAGAAATTTACTGCTGCCCCACAGCCCAGCTGTCTGCAGACCACTTCAGCATCATTTAAGTCCCAGTCATCATCACAGACTGTTCCCCAGGAGCCACTGTGATAGATTTCAACTCTTCCAGAGCACCGAGTGGACCCAGACCCAGCTAGTCTGATCTGACCATCTGTCAGAGAGATATAACAAAGATTCAAAATCCAAATATTTCCCACAGAACAAAAACAGGAATTTGTTACATGGGAGAATGGACCAACCTGCAACAGGTGAAGATGTCATGAAGAGAAAAGAGACTAGAGGGAAGAATCAAAACGATGCATCAGTGTGTCCATGTAAAAGTCTACATCATAAATGGTAAAACTGTTGTTCATTCAACTTGAGAACACAAGAATTTCAGTGAAGAACTGAATTTTTCCAATTTCTCTGTAATTATTTTTCTCTATAAAGAATATGGCCGGTGCTACCCATGTGTTGAATATTTTAAAAACATAAATTTCACAGCTCAGCCTTCTCAACCCAACAGGAGTTAAATTGATGTCTGATGTATTTTTGCTTTTTCAGTGTTTCACGGTGAACAAAGAAAAAGAAATACATCAGGCTACTTACAGCTTTGTTCTTAAAAGCACTTTGAATCACCTTGTTGTTGAATCGTGCTATACAAATAAACTTGCCTTGCCTTAAATCAATGACTACATGCAAAACATTCATATCTAAAACTTGAAGATGATGTTGGCCATTTAAGGATTTTCAACAATGTAAACTGCTCCCGAATCGTCACTCTAACACTAACACAGCCATTTTGACATTGAATTATTTTTTGTTCATTTTTATATCTTAATTTCATAAATCATCATGTTTTATTCTGTGTTCAACGCTGTTACCCTTCATTGATAAAAGACATAACAGCAGTGGGATTTTCTTTTCCACCCGTGACTCTACATGTTTGTAGTTTACAAAACTTTATTTTATAGTTTTTTAATGTATTATTTTATGCTTTGGTAATGATTCAAAAACTAAATTTGTTGGGATAAAGCACTAATAATTTCCCTTTGATCTTGAAAGGAGACACAAATTCCTTTGGGGCTGTGCAAAGAGGGGATCCAGTGCATAAATACACCAAACTACCTGCTGTGGTGACCTTTTGTGAATAAGCTGAAAGTAGCTGCAGCTTCTTTAGACATGACCAGTCACACAGACCTCTTTCACACACAACCCCCCCTTTAACTCACCTAAAACCAGTCTCTCTACATGACCGCACATCCTGGTCAATGAAGGTTTTCCAGCTCAGCAGTTAGACAGAAACTGTAAGATAGCACAGCAGTGAGGTTTGCTGCTTCTCCGCCAGTAACAGCATCAGAGTGTTAATGTTTTAAAACTCAACATTTATCTGAAGCTTCATGTGCAGTGATGGAGAAGTAGTACAGCTGCCATGATGTACAAATATTATAGCAATATTAGAGTGAGACAGAGGGTCATATTGACTCACTCAAAGCATAATGTTATCTCTTATGAATGATCAGTCCAAAATAAACTTAAATTAGCTTAATGTAAAACAGATACTTACCTGAATGGCCTATTTCATGAGGGTTTACAAATTCTTGCTAGCTTCAGAAGATGCTCAGTTTGAATGCTGGAGCCGCAGTGGCCTGGGGAGATTTGGTGAATTTAACAGATTACTCTCCATGTGATACAGTCGAATCATGTTGCCACATATGTTGAAGAGTTAAACACTTCAGCTGATATAAACATTTTCTTCTTTGATCTCAAAAATCAACACAGTCTCTCTGTGGTTTTTGGGACATGATTACTTCTGTTCTCTTCCTGAAAGGTTATGTCTAAGCAATAATCATATTACTTGGATAGCTTTGTGTGTGTAATGGTAGTGCAGGCTTTACCTCTGTTATTCTACATGGTGGTCTTAGTTCTGGCCAGCTGGGACATTTCCCCCCCTCAAAAGCAACATTATGTAACATGTAATCCATTATTGTGTAAACAGACCTCACAATGATTGTAGCTAAACTTATAACTTCAGTTTCTGAGGTCAGCATCATCACCCGTACCCTAATGATATTAATAATATTACTGTGTTAAATTGGGCATCAGCAGAAGGGTCATCAGTTTTTGTTTTGAGAACGTTGTATTCTCAAGAATGAAAGAACTGCTGAATTTTGAGGAGGTAAATTTGCAAAATAATCTGTTTCTAGAGATCGACTTCTTCTTTCTTTGAAATAGAAAGTTTTTCATGTATACTGCCCCAGTCTGAACCCTGACCTGAGTTCAGGGCTCACACGATAGGATTTATTGCTGAGTACAGTTGGCTTTAACACTGTATCAGTGCTTTTATTAATGTAATGCAGTCACGTTTGCACACTTTGCAAGTCTCACTGACCAATCAAAGCAGTTTAGACAAAAAGTCCTATTTTAGCCAAAGGTTCCTGTCAAACTTTATAGGATAGGATACAGGAGGCAACCAACACAGGGACTTGGAGAACATTCTCCCTGTTTTTCTTGAATGTGCTGTAATCACACAACTAATCACAAAAAATAACTTGGACTCATTGGTGTTTAATAATTATAGACTTATTTCTAATCTTTTATTACTCATCAAAAATTGAAAACATTTTATTACAAGTAACTAAATGAATATCTTACATGTCGCAGTCTTTACTTTTCCAGGGAGGTTTCAGATCCAATCACAGCACAGAAACAGCAGACTGAGTGCTGCTCAGTCTCAGTGCTGCCTTTGACACTATGGAGCAGGACATTTTAATTCAAAGGCTTCATGGCTCTGTTGCTTTGACAGGTGGGTTGATGGTTGGCTCTCATCATAGTGAAGACTTGAGGGGCTTTTGTGTGTCTATTAGCGGTTTAATATTTGCACAAATAAAAATTCAATCTGGTGTTCCTCAAGGCTCGATCCTTTGGGTCCATTACTCTTTAACATTTACATGCTCCCACTTGGTACTGTCAGAAAGAATCATAACATATCCTACTCTTCTTGTGCACATAATACTTATCAGTTTTCCTCTGATGATCTGACCTCTATTCAGAAACTAATGAGCTGCACTGATGGCATTAATCACTGAATGATTCACAACTTTTTAGAACTAAACAGATTGAAGACAGAAACATTTGCTGTTGGTCCAAAAAAGTCAGAGACAGAATATTTCTCATTGCCTTTTCTAAAATGAAGTGGGTTCAGTGAAGAAGGGCAGAGATAGCTCAGTAGGTAGAGTGTTCGCCCCATGATCAAAGAGTTGGAGGTTCAAATCCATCGAACAGCTCGCCTAAGATACCTACACACTGCTCCCCAGGCATTGAATTGTTAGCTGCCCACTGAGTTAGTGGGTTAAATGCAGAGGACTAAACAATTTCCTACAGGATTAATAAAGTACACATTATTAACTTTAAACAGTTTGCTTGATATCAAAGCATAGACTATGCTTCCATATCAAGCAGGTTAGATCATTATATGCTCTATTTTCTGTACACTCCAAATCATCAGTAAGACGACTTCAGCACATTCAAAATGTACCAGTCGGAGTGCTTATGCAGAGATCTGACTCTATTACCCCAGTATCAGGATCACTTCATTGGCTTCCAGTGCAATATAAAATGATTGTATTAGTTCCCAAAGCACTCTATGGTTTGACCTCCTACTACATCTTTGACTTGCTCACTGTTCAAATACCAGTCAGATCACTGAAGTCATCAGCTGCAGATCTTTCAACTGATCGTAGATTGAGACCCAAGTGTGCCTCAGTTTCTGTGGTCCTGTTATTTGGAACACCTCTCCTACTGATCTGGGCACATCTTGTGCACATCTTTAGTCATTTTGGCCAATTTTTAACATAACCAAAATAAACAGGCTTCCTCGCATATGTTTACTAAGACTAAAATGTCTTTGTCCGTGTCTGCTTTTTAAAAGTTGTAATATCTGTTTGGTACGGAGCCCCGCAGGGGACATGGGAGAAAAAAAAATTAAGACGGACTTTTGCGAGATCTCGCAAAAGTCCGTCTTAATCTCGCAAAAGTTTTAGCCGCATTCTTCGGAGGCCGCCAGCTCGAAGCCGACCGGGAGGTCGAGGCACGATGTGCCGGGAAAGCGGTGTTCCTCCCGGATGTAGTAGGTCTCGACCTCCCATTAGCTTCGAGATGGTGGGTGTCAGATCTCCGAAAACGTCGGAGCACTTTTGCAAATATGTGATGTCTTGTAAACCGAGCAGGTATCTGACATTTACACAAATACATTCACGCCTCAAAATATCTTAAAAGTGTATTTTGTGACCCAGAAAGAGTAATATTACAACTAAGTAGCTGCCGCCATTGTTGGAATTCAACTTTTGCGAGATCTCACAAAACTTTTGCGAGATCCCGAGTTTGTTATATTATAATATAATATTCTAAAACTAAAACCTAACAACTAACAACTAAAATGAAAAAAGCGAGCTCACTCTAGTAACTGACACTAACCCGAAAATCAAATTAAGGACGTCTAAATTATGCTTTTAATGTAAGATTAAATGCTATAATAACCATGGTAGGCATTAACAGGGTTATTACTAGTATTATTATTGCTTACCACCAGTTTTACTCCCCAGATTAAGTTCCCTTGATGTGAGGTTTTCCTCTTCTTCTTTCTGCAGTGAAGTGAAATTTAAGTTGAAGATTCAGCTTTTTATTGTTGTGTTCAAGACCCATCCCACACTGAAAATGTGCAAGTGGTCAGAAGTGGACTTCCAGGGAGAGGTCATAGTTGACCAACGTACAAAAGGGCACTACATGTCTTGGATGAAGTGAGGTTAAAGCTGTACTAGTACCTCTCCGAGAAGAGATGAGGTTGAATGCACCAAATTTAACTCAGTTAAAGTTTTTGAGTTTTTAGCTTCCCATACTTGTGATCATACTTTGTATTTAAATGTCAAATAAACTTCAACAGGTCATCATATTCTAAGAAGCTTGGAAAGAACAGTGTCTTGACTTCTTCAAGTTTCTTGAAGATGTTTCACATCTCATCCGAGAAGCTTCTTCAATTCAGTTCAGTTCAATGAACTGAAGAAAATTTTCATACTTCAACTTCTTCTGTTGCTGTGGTTAGAGTTGACCCTGTTTGTCCAAAGAGTAAACAAGGGGTACCCCACCTCTCACACTATGACAGCCGGGATAGATTCCAACCACCTACCCTGAACTGGATAAATGGAAGAAACTGGTTGGATAGATGGAAAAGGCTGATGCTCCATACAAACTAAGCTCACACAGCATACTGCTGAATGACAGAGGTGATGGGTGCTAAAAACTGGTCTCTTTACACCTATCAGTAATTACTGCAAATCAGTAATCTGGTAGTCCTTCCATAAATCCAAAACGTACCTTATATGAATTTGGTTTATTTCCACTCAAAGATTTTCTTCTCCTACACCTTTGACCACCACCCAGTATTGATTTTGAAAGTCCTGTACTGGTATCAGTCTAAAGATATTTATAAAATCACTGTGAAAAGCAGAATTTACCAAAGACAAAAACACATATTTTCACAATTTATAAGAGAGTGACGCTTCTTTATTGAACGCTCTGTATGTGAGACTTTCCAGTGTTGCCTCACCAGACAGTAAAGGGGACACTGAAATAGAGATGAATTGTACCTGACAGGGAATTCTGCAGTAGCAAACATGGTGTTTGTAGAATGACCACTCGGTAGCTTTCTTATGATGCTGCTTTATTGAACGTGTATCCAGCATGGGTTATAACAGCACAACAACGGGTGTGGCAGCTAAGAGAAGAACTGCACATAGACAGCCCTGCCACAAAGCATGTCATGGTGGCATAAAGCCGCAACGCCCACCCACTCAACACAGGCAACCCAGTATATGACAGTGTTAGAAGCAGAACTGAAGTTTTATTTTATCATAAAGATGGTAAACTTTTTAAACACTAACTTTTTACTAACTTTTTAAACCATCTCCTGGGTCTGGGCGCAGATTCCCTCTCATGGGATGCTGGGTTATAAATTGTGTGTACTGCGTTCATTTCAGTGTGTTTCCATGTTGGGTGAGTGATGAGAAGGAGCCTGCGGCCGGAGCACCAAGGCTGCAGGCTCCTTCTCATTAATATCCTCCTCATTAATATCCCTCAAGTGACAAAATCACTTGAGGGATATTAAAGGTTACAGAGTTTGTAGTCGATATTTGTTTTTTCCTGGATGAGCCTGAGGTCTGCTGCAGAGTCAATGTTCCACCTGAGTTGAGATTGAACAAGCGGTCGTAAGCTGACCAGCTGACATTGTAGTACACCTTTGTATTGGTTTGGCTTGTAATAAGTCTGATTCATTAGCTTATGTAAGCCTGTTGGGGAAGGAATAAAAGTAAATAACAAGCTAAACAAGTTATTTAGGAGCTGCTAATGATTCATGGTGAGTTGTCTTACTTGAACATGTGACACCAGCATCTTCACCATGCCCACAGTTATGTGTCCCAAATGCTCTGTGTCAACACTCGGTTAGAGAGCTTTCAGTTCCTGAACAGGCCACATTATTGACCCAGACCCAGCAGGTCTGATCTGACTATCTGTCAGACAGATATAACAAAGATTCAAAATCCAAATATTTCCCACAGAACAAAAACAGGAATTTGCTACATGGGAGAATGGACCAACCTGCAACAGGTGAAGATGTCATGAAGAGAAAAGAGACTAGAGGGAAGAATCAAAACTATGCATCAGTGTGTTAACAGAGAATGTATTAAAGCACATGTTGTTTTCAGTGTAAAGCAATAAATAGTTACAATTGTTGTGCAATGAATGAGTGAGACCATGACTGCATTTCTATTTTGTCCGTGTAAAATTCTATGTTATAAATGGTTTTAAAAGAAACAAGAATTTCAGTTCCACTTTCACAATTTCTCCACGTTTCCAGAAGTGTTATCTAAAAAAGGACACAAATTCCTTTTGGTGCTGTGCAAAAAGGGGGATCCAGTTCATAAATACGCTGAGCTACCTGCTGTGGTGACCCTATGTGGATAAGTGAGCAGCTGAAAGTAGCTGCTGCTTCTTTAGACATGACCAATCTGAAGCTACATGAGCAGTGATGCACATCAGGAGAAACAGTAAAGCTACCATAGTGTACAAATATTATACCAATATTAGAGTGAGACAGAGGGTCATATTGACTCACTCAAAAGATAATGGTATGTCTTATGAATCATCAGCCCAAAATAAACTTAAATAAGCTTAATGTAAAACAGATACTTACCTGAATATTGGACAGCTTTAATATTTTCTTCAGTATCAAAGTAACACAAGGATATTTTAGGTTGATGAATATATAACAGAATCCGCCAATAGCTGCTATTTCCAATATGCCACAGTGTAAACAATACAGGCTAAAACTGTCTTACAGTGCTAGCAGCTACTAGTAGCCTATTTCATGAGGGTTTACAAATTCTTGCTAGCTTCAGAAGATGCTCAGTTTGAATGCTGGGGAGATTTGGTGAATTTAACAGATTACTCTGCATGTGATACAGTCGAATCATGTTGCCACATATGTTGAAGAGTTAAACACTTCAGCTGATACAAATGTTTTCTTCTTTGATCACAAACACCAACACAGTCTCTCTGTGGTTTTTGGGTTTTCTGTTTTGTTCCTGAAAATTTACGTTTAAGCAATAATTATATTAGTTGTTTAGCATTGTGTGTGTAATGGTAGTGCAGTCATTACCTCAGCTATTCTACATGTTGGTCTTAGTTTTGGCCAGCTGGGACATTTCCCCACCCCCTTAAAAGTAACAAGTAATCCATAATATAATCCATTTCTTTTTAAATCAACAAAACCCACAATGATAACTGATTACTGATGATAATGATAACTTCATCAGTTGAGTTTATGAGTTTAGCATAGTCAACAATACCCTAATAGTACTGAAAAAATACCATCTTAAATGGGGCATCAGCAGCAGGGTCATCAGTTTCTCTTTCTGTTCTGCAATTCTGTCAAAAAATGCAGAACAGCTAATTATCAAGAAGACAAATGTGCAAAATAAGCTGCTTGTAGAGACCAACTTCTTCTTTCTAGATGAAAGCTTGAAAAGTCAGCAAAGAACTCATCTGCATATTGCTTTAAGAAATGGTTCATCATGCTACTGTCGTTCTAACTTGATGAAGAAATGCTCCATTCATGTTTGACTTATTCAGTAATTTTCAGACATGTGATACAGTGATGCACATCAAGCAAGGTGGTTTTGGTTTTAATTTAGTTCAGTCTGTAACTATTAATGTCATGGAGCAACTGTAACCACATAATTTCCTTAGGCATTAATAAAGTATTCTGAGTATTCAGTTTAACCTTTATTTAACCAACAGAACACATCCTGTCTGGAGCACGAAGTTGGTTTGCGGGGTCAAATTTTCCACTATTTTCTCTATTACAAAGTTAGAACCCACTCTCACCAACCAGATAACTCTACCTGTCTTTACCTGATACATGTTGTTCACTATTATTCTGTGTTAAAAAATATCACTGTGGGCACGACCACTTTAATATTGAAAGACATACCTAAAGCCTGAAAGTATTACATTGTGAAATACACACTTCTCCAAAAATTCTTTGTTTATGTGGGTTATAATGATAATATATTATGTGCATAGAAGACAAATGAAAACTTCCCACATGGCATCCAGCAATCAGACAGATTTTAGACAGAAAAGAACTCGCCTACATCTTCAGATATCGGTGCGGCTGGTTAACTGTCAAGAAGGTGGGTGTGGGTGATGGGAGTGGCACATCTAGCCCTGAGCCAGAGGTTTGATCTGTGATCAATTACATGTTGGCCAAAAAACATAAACACGTTATTTTCTTTTCTAATAGTGGGAAAGTCAAACAGCTTTATCTGCTCTAGCGCTCTGAATCGGCATGTGGACCAAACCAAAACATGAAATAAGGAGGGGTGGGGTCAGAAGCTGACTGGATTTTATTCTTTGTTCCCAAAAACAAACGAAAAAATGCTAGAAAACAAACACGTTTTAATGCAAACATTATTTTATGCTGACAGGGCAATAATATTCACACAAAAAACAAAACTGGATCTTCTACTCTTGTCTGGAGCCCCTGTCAGGCATGGGCCCTGCAACAGGCAGAGCGCCTCATTGAACAAAGCACTGATCTTACACACAGGGCAGACAACCACCAGTTGATCTAACATGCATATTTGTGAACAGTGGGAGGAAGCTGAAGCACCCAGATGACCTTAGATGGCAGTATGGTTTATATCCTTCTTGCTGTGAGACAACAATGCTAACCACCCAGACAGCAAAACAAGAAAATGTTGGAGTTTTTTTGGACAGTTACTTGCTTTTTAACGATTAAACCAGTAGTTTTGTGGAGGGTTGCTGCCCCCAATCAGAAACCATCACTAAATTAAAGTAAACTTTAGCACTAAAGGCATTATAAAAATGATCCATACCTTTGTTACCTCTACTATAACTCAGGATTGCCCAGTTTCGCTCTTTTTTTGATTGAAGATGGTTCAAAACCCCGCTGTGTGGTACAAAGAAAAACACACCACTCCCATTTAAGCTCAATTGCACTGGCTGCCTGTGAAATTTCGATTGAATTCAAAATTATATAATTTGTTTATAGACCCCCTCTATGGTTCAGCTATACAATTTATCACAATTTTTTAACTACAGATTTTTGCCTCAGGGAACTCAAACCATCCTTGTAGCATCTTCTAACAGTTTCCCATTCTCACCTAAAAGCTAAAGGCACCTTGTCCTTTGCTGTTATTGCCCCCAGGGTCTAGAATTGACTGCAATACCACAATAAAAACTTGTCAAACAACTCAGAAATAGCTTTATAAAGACCCATTACCTGTTTTCACTTGCTTTTATTCACATCTGAGGCTTCAGGGTTTTGTTACGTCTACTGTGAACATTTGTCTTATTAATTTCTTACTAGTAGAGATGAGAATTGAGAACTAGTTCTTGTAGAGAACCGGTTCTCTTGTGACTGTTGTGGTCTGAAATTGGGTTTTTGTAGACCTGCAATGTAAATGTGTTTACTTTGGAAGCACTTTTGGTCATCTCCTATTATTATATTGTGCTACATAAATAAAACTGACTTAAATTGACATTTTTATTTATACTGGCTATATAATGGCGCTAAAAAGAAACATTAAAAGTCAGAAAACCTGAAAACGTTTAGGCGCTCTGATACGGAAGAGGATTAGGGCCACTGGAAAAAAAAAAAGGATTCTGACTTTTTTCTCAGAATTCTGACTTTATTCTCAGAATTTTGAGGTGGGCACCTGCAGGCTTCCAGCTTCAGTGACAGCGATGTGTCCAGTTTGGCAGGTGGAGAACTAATTCACTAAATATGGTGGATATAAGTGACTTTTTGCGTGGCCGAGGGGTCCCCGAAGATGCTATTTTATTAATGGAAGAGCAGAAGGTGAGTAACAAAAAGAGCGATAGTTTGGTGTCTCCTATTTTTACAGGAAAACAGTTACGGTACAGTTACGGTTAGCTGTTAGCATGCTTGTTAGCTTATAATGTTATATAGGAATGAACGTGTTTCACGATGTTACAGTATACTAGGTGAATTGACGTTTTAACTGTTGTTGATCGCAGAATCATCCCAGATGGGTTCGTTGCATTTTATTTTATTGTTCTACTATTTCAGAGTTTTTCAAGGCAGTTAAGCGGAGCTGTGTTACAGATGCTAGCCGCCTGCCAATATCACTGATATATTTGATGTGTACAAGTAAGTTACACTTAGTACAGCGGAGGAGAGAAGCTGTAATGAATGTTTATGCGGATATTTCACTCAGAAAAATGGGTGGCGTTCATACACAGCCACCGACACAGCCCCGGTTGTTGTTCTGACGGTGGCCGACTGACGATCCCCTCACAACATGTTAGCTAACACAAACTAATGTAGTGCATGTAACTGTGTATACGTTAGTGGTACAGTGTCGGAAGAAATGAGCAAACTGTTTATAATGTCAGAATGACATCATCTTTCTCCTATATATAAAAGTGCTGGCTGAGGAGCGCTGCCGGGTTGAACTTTGACCTCGGAGTGACGTGACGTTTGTTCGCACAACCAATAGAAGTGCAGAAAGTCGCAAATCAGGCATATTGTTCGCATAAACACAAAAATAAATAAATAAATAACGAAATAATCCCGATATTGTGCCAAAGACTGATTTACAATGTTACTTTGTGTTCTATGTGTAATACCTTTGCTTAAATGACTAAATGGACTGTGTATTTATGACTCTGCGTTATAGTCCTTAGCATACATAAGTAACATTCATATGTACAGATAAAAATGTACAGAGATATGTACACAAGCGTGTACACAAAAGTCTACTGCTGATCGAGCTGCTCAGTGGTCGTACAGTCTCATGCAGAGAGCGTGGAGGTGTTGTCCGTTGCCATTCCACCACTCCAGCAGACCACAACATAAAAGACAGCAGACGCCACCACAGTGTCGTAGAACATCCTTAGAAGACGTACTACCTACATCATAACCAATCAAGTCCTGCTTTTTTTTAAATACAGAAGAGGATTTATTATTTACTGAAAGGCTATGCCTTAGTTTGCTTCTTTCATTATTGTGTTTCGCCCTGCATAAAATAGATAGCTTTTCTGACAACTACAGTCAGTACTCTCCTACTGGCATTAGCGTGACCTAACGAGGCTTAACTGTAATATTGCTTTGCAGTGTAAATGTTGCAGAAAATGACTGTCTTTTCTTTCTTCCTGTGTGCAGATTGACTGTGACGTCATAGCACTGATGGATGACGCAACTTTGGCAAACTACATGTCCCTCGTACGGAGACCGAATTGCCTCTTCAATTTCTGCAAAAGCAAGTGTGGCAGGATGAATGTTATCCCTCGATCCAACCCACTTTCAGCCTGGTCCATTAGGGGGCACTGGTATAAATAGTGGCCATTCGAGTGTCTCTGCATCGCTTGCCTGTGATCTCCTTTTTGGTCACCTGACTTCCTCGGTGTGGTAGAGATCGTTTGTGGGTTACTCCTCTGAAGTCTCCATCGCGGCTGGTCGTAGCTATAGAAGCCTCCTCTGAGCTATTCTGCTTACATTCTATGACACGGCTTACTTGGTACGTAATCAACTTTTGTTACGCTCTCTGCCTTCTATTGTTCTTTTATAGTAATTATTTATTATGTTTCGCAGGAAGTGTGGGCCTTAGTTTTGCGCCAAGCTACGTGAACTGAAGTGCTGCTGTTTTGCCTTGCTGTGCTTTTATCGTCTGTTCCCGTTGTGAGATTTCTTTCCCTGCTGCTGTCAGCTTTTACAGTGGACGTCGGCGTGGACAACGGCCATATGCATGCCGGTTATCGGAGTCAGCTGGCGTGCATATTGATTGACTGTTAACTTGTCGTCGTGTGACGGCAAGTTGGAGCAGTACGGCGATTCCGTTTGCTCCAGATTTTAGAGTTTTATCCAGATTGTATGTTTTATTGCTTTTGATTTGTAGTTTGGATTTTTGTTACACCACTGGTGGGAGGCCCTTTTTCTAGCTGTAGATCACCAGTGTGGTCTTGCAGTTGGGTTATCCCCCGGTGCTACACATTAGTTTGTTGTAATATATTAAAATTTTCTTTGTTTCTTTTATTCAGATGCGGAGTGCCGACGTGGAGGAGACTAGGGTGCCTTGGTGGTGGGATCCCTTGAGTGTACACACCTGCCTTGTTTAGTTTATTAGTGTGAGTGTGTGTGATAGTGTGCTGCACTTGTGTTTTGGGTGTGTTTTCTTTCTTTAGTTTGTGTGTGGCATCCCTGCCCCTCCACTGGTAAGCCTCAGCTCTGAATACCTTTTTAAGCATATTTGTACTTGAATATTTATGATTGTGCTTTTATATGGTGTTTTAAATAATTATTAATAAATTGTCAATTTGTTGATCATTGAACCTCGTCTCTGGATTGAGTATAGCGAACCTAAGTGCCTTTCTGGTGATTTAGTGTTACTTTCAGTATTCTCTGGGTGAAATTCCCAGGGTGGCGTTGTCTTTTTAAAACTGCAAAGAGTATTTACTTTAATATCCCATCCTCGTCTCGCCACACAAGCAACCACTGTCAAAAAGAAAACTAGGACTTCTGCAAAAAGTTCACCTCTCAAAGTGAGAGAAACAGTGGCTGACATATCAGATTTGGATGACTTAATAAGACTGTATTTCAGACTTTCTTTCAGTAACAAAGAAATACTTTCAATTTTAGCACATAGTCATCAGACAATTATAAGTGTTCGAACTCTAAAGAGAATTTGTAAAAGACTTGGGCTTTTTAGAAGGAAGAATCAATCAAACTTGGAGGAAGTGCTAGCCTTTGTCCAACAAGAGATCATGACAAATGGACAGATGCAAGGTTATCGTTGGCTACATCTACGTGCAATTCAACATGGATTTGTGGTGTCACAAGATACTGTAAGATGCATAATCAAATTGCTTGACCCTCAAGGTGTGGAACTGAGACGAGCTCGACGGTTGAGAAGACGACAGTACAGCTGCAGAGGGCCAAATGCTCTCTGGCACATGGATGGCTATGACAAGTTGAAACCATATGGTATTGCTATCAGTGGCTGCATAGATGGTTTTAGCCGCTATGTTTTATGGATGGAGGCTTATACTACAAACAGTGACCCTAAATTGATTGCAAGTTATTTTCTGAAAACAGTTTCATGCATCAGCGGATGTCCAGAAAGGTTACGTGCTGACCGAGGTACCGAAAATGGTTGTGTCGAACAAATGCAGATGTTTTTACGGAGAAACCACACAGACAGTTTTGCAGGTGAGAAAAGTTTCCTTTACGGAAGAAGTACGGCCAACCAACGTATAGAAGGATGGTGGGCTACCCTACGCAAACAGAGTGCACAATTTTGGATGAACTTATTTCAAACTTTTCAGGATGATGGCCACTTCACAGGGGATTTTTTGGACAAAAGTCTTATCCAATTCTGCTTTCTCAATCTTATTCAGGTAAAAGCATGTGCTCATGCTATGTAATGTCTTAGCTGCATAAATAGAAAATATAAATATGGTTAGAACATTTTTTTTCTTTAAATTAAATATGAATTTTATTTCCATTTTAATGAGCCCACTTATGCACAATTGTCATGGTTTTTTGTGTTTACAGTATAGTGTTTTTTCTATTACTGTATTATTGTGTTGTTGTTGTTTTTTTTGCTTTATCTGAATTCATGGTACTGCAATGTACAATATTGAGTAGGTCTATTTGCGTTTTTGGTTGTTTGAAAATGTGTCTCCTGAAAATGTGCCTTCTGAATAAACAATGGAAATCAAGGACTGCAGTGTTTTATATAAAGAAGACTAGTGTGTTCCCCCTGATCTGTAAGTGTTTGCATATGATGCAAGTATGTGTCATTTTGTCAACAGAGTTACATTTTGACAAAGGAATGTCAGGTTTTGACAGCAGAGTTTAGGTTTTGGGAGTAGAGTTTCAATTTGGCACAGATGTGAATGGTATATTTCCCAGTGTTGTGTCATGTGTACTTGTGTGTACAGTTTTGGCACAGAGAGCGGAGTTTTGCAAAATGTGTTCAAGCAGTGGGCAAAAACTGTAACACCTGAAAAAATGTCTTGTTACTGCCAGAAATTATGCATTTTTATTTGTATGCATGTATGTTCTCAGTCATTCACACTTGTTTTTATTTCTATACCATAGATGACACTGAAGGAATATGTGATACCACAATAGCCAGTGTTCATGGTCTTTACAGTAAGTCACTGATGTATACTGATGCATAACAAGACTGTATGAGATCTATAAGTTTGTTTTAAAAGTTGAGTCATTCTTGTTACAGGGCAGCTTATACGGTTATGAGTTTTAGCCATGTTATTGGCATTGGCAAGAACAGGTTTCTTGTAAACTTTTTCCAATAAAATGTTACTGTACACAGTACATTTGTATTGTTGTTTTGAATATGTTCATCAACTCCTTATCTATTTGAACATGCCAGAATTCAAGAGACTGCCACACATGAGCTCAGTAACATGGAAGAATACCATTTATTTTTAATTTCAAACATTTCATAAAGATACACAAATATAAATGTAAAACATGTTGCACTTAATGGGACAATAACTTGGTTCCACTTGCAGGAACTGTTTTGTTGCATTGTTGCTGGGATACTACAAATAAAAGTCAAAATATTTTTGGTATGTTTCTTATAATTTTAGGATTCATATCATGAAGGAGCCTTGTATACAACAGCTAACACTGAATCAGTATAGCAATGATTCATGGTCATTTTACATGAAAACCAGCTAAAATATCTTACAACTAACAGAAGTGAAATACATTAATAATTAAGTGATGGATCTTCATATGGGTAAATGATTATAATAGCTTTGCTTTAATATAATTGCACTAAAAGCTCCCCAAAAGGCATAACGACTTTAAATATTAACAATGATACGTTTATAGAAACATGCTGTTGTCAAGACCTAGAATTGTTAATGCTACTATGGTTTGCTGAAACATACCACAGATAACCCGGGCACTTAGCATATCATATGCTGGTGCCTGGGTTTCCAGCCATGAATATTAAGAGTAAAGGTTGATACAGAAAACAATGAGCAGGGAGCTGGTCAGTTTATATTTTATATACTATGCACATGTCTGGCAACAAAACACAGAAATTTATATTGCAATTTACTGGTAGGCACACAGCAAATTCAAAAGTGTTAAATTTTTTGGTGTTAATAGTCTCCTTGCAAAAGTAGAGTTAATTTTACTCTAAGCAGAGTCACATTCTTTTAATGTAACTCTGAGGTGTAAAATGATAGTAGTTAAAATCGAGTGTTAAAAATGAGTGTTTCTATGTCAAATCTGGAGGTGTTACAATGGAAACATTAACTCTTGACCTCTTAACTCTGAACTCCTAGAGGGGCTATGACACCAACAGAGTAAATTCACAGACTCCGCCCCCAGCACGGCTCCAATCGAAGCTGAAGTGAAGCCGTTTCAGAACATTTTGCTCTACATATTTGAGTTGTTTGCCATGCTTGGTAAGTCATTCTTTCAAAGATTGTTTCAATTATTATTAGCTTTTACTTCTGTGGCTCTTTGGAGTTGAGACAAAGCTGTGTGAAAGGCATTAGCCATGTTGCTCGCTGATAGCATATGTGGAGCAGGGAAATTATTTTACTGCTATCGTTAAATAATTGTCATCATTACCATTGCATTAATAATATAATCTGGAGTTTATATTGCGTTTAGAGGTTGAACAGTGTGTCTTTCAGAAAGGCTAAAAGTAACAGGACAGGAAACAGGCTTGGAGAGAGTTTGTAAAAGCAGAAGGTTATTTTGAGCAGCAGGCTAAGACGAGGCTTTAACAATGTAACAGATAGCTTTAAGATGGCCTTAAGATGTTTATGATTATGTTAACTTTGTATTTCAGGTGCAGTTATGACTATTTTATACACAATGCATATCTGTGCTTATTAAAGAGTTGGAGCTCGGTCAATTAATTGGGGGTTGGAAGCTTTGTTCGGCGCGATGTCCGGACAATCTATTGTGCAAGTGACTTGGAGCTATAGAAGGTTAAAACTGCGTACATGCTTACAATACATTTGTATCAGGTCATTTTTATATTAAACTTTTAGTAGAGGTTCTTGATTAAAACATTTATTCAACATAGTACATGTAGTTTCAGTCAGGTTATTGTACCTAAGGATGAGCCTCTGTTCTGGTGAAAGGTCAGAAGTGCAACAGGTGAATTGAGAAAGAGCATTTAAGGACGAGACCCAGACAGTCAGTAGGTGAGAGGTGACATAGAGGCTGAGTGAGGTCAACACACACACATTAGTTAGATTTATTTATAGGAAAGAGTTTAGACATGTCTGGTGCTAACTGCGAAAGTGTCTCGGTA